CATTATTTTGGTTCACATATTTGAACTCCCATTCTCAATACATATTTACTCTCCAGTGTCACCAGCTTTAATTAGAGGTAAGCTTTTACTGAGAACGGTAAAACTTTTGAAACATGCCTACAATAAAAACTATCAGAAGATATTTTACCAACAAATCAAAACAGACAAATGACAAGGAAAATCCATATATTAACAAGTAAAAAGAAACCATGTTTATGGAAAAGTTCCCTCTGCTAGCTGCTACCAGTACATCTCAATGTTTCTGTTTCAATGAATGCACTCAGATGTTCATATGTGTTGACTTTTATATGAACATAAAGGAAAAAAGAGTGGTATGCCAATTTCAGAGGGGTTGTTTTTAAGAACAGACCTGCTATTGGACAAAGTGCAAGTAGCTTAAAGTTTATATTAAATAAGGAGCATTATTTGGAAAAAATTATTTTATAGGGCTTTCTTGAAGTTATTTTTAGAATTCATGATGTAAGATATTAACAGTTTTTAAACATTAAATTTAGGTTGAAAATTAGACTACAAGAGAATTAATAAAATCATGTCATAGGATATGCTTCCCACTTAACTACAAACATAAAAATACTTTTAAAAAGCACTTATTAAACTGAAACTTAAAGAGGAGGAGAAAAATCTACCAGTCCCAGAACCAAAAAAAGAGAATCAAAACATAGATCATAGGTGGAAGCTCACTTCCAAGTAGCCTAAAGGATTTGGGGACCTGGATATAGAATATGGTATCTGGGCACTGGATTGTTTAATCCTATATGAGAACAGAAGAACCAGACATGAACCCTTTGCATAAAGCCTGGTCCTTTCCAGGGAATCCTTAAAGAAAGTTGCTGTCTGTCCAGGATTTGGAAAAAATTAAAGAAAAACAGATAAACACAACAGGACCTACTAATGCGAAACCCAAACCCTAAACTTGTGCCACACCACATATAGGATAGTAAATGGTGTGAGAATGAGAACTCCAAAACCACAAATTAATATTAACATTTCTAGAACCATTAAAACTCATGGACAGTGCAGAAGCCAGTGTAAATTTATGCTGTTGGGACCATATGCTATTGTGATCATAATACAGAGAAAGGAAAGCATCAAGAAAGAATACACAGGATACTAAATAAAAATAATTGAACTTAACTTCTAGAAATGAATAAAATTATAAGTGAAAAGTTAAACAGATTAGAGACACAACTGAAGACTAAATCATCAGATAATTGTGAGCTTATTCACCAGAATGTAACACAGAAGGAAAAGAGAGAAAAATGTGAAACGGAGATTAGGAAACATTGAGGATAGAATGAGTAAATCCTACATTTTTCTAATGGGATTTCAAGAAGTAGAGCCCACAGACTTAGAGAAAGATATTATTTAAAGAGAGAATATTGATTTTTTCCGTAATTGAAAAATGGCATGACTCTTCAAGTTATCATAGCATAGAAACAATGACACCCCAGTAGCAAGGAGAAGCCTAGTACTCAGATCTTGGTTTCTGATACCTTTCTCCAGTGAAAGGAACCAAGGCTCATTGGAGATAGGCTGATGGCTGATTCTAGGACTGGGTCAGGAAATATCTGAGATGAACCTGACGCAACTTATGGTGCTAAAATTAAGTGATATAAGGTGCCAAATAAAAGCACATATTGATGAAGTTATGTCAAAAGGACGTGGAAGCCAACTGAAAGAGCTCCCTTTGGCCAAAGCTGGAACAGGTTGAGCACTAAAATAAAGTAGCATGGCATCATGACTCAAACTATAAAATAAATATCCTTGAGTCCATATTGATATAAATAAATTACTAGGTAAAGAAATGGGAGAGAAAAGATAGCTCTCTCATGCCTAAGAAATCCTAATAATTTATGTAGATTCTCTGCCCTCAAGAAGGGGAGCATAGACCACCACTCCACAGGTGTGGTCTGCACATCATGACTTCCTTCAAAAGAATATAGTATGGAAAGGGATAGAAAAAAGTAACTTTATTGTGGAGAAACATGACAAGCACTACATCAGCCAGGTGAACAAGGTCAACATGAACGGTGACAAATCAGATCAATACCATGTACCTTTGTCATGATGTGATGGAAATAGCACTTTACTTTTGTAGTCTTCCTCGCCAAATTCCATAATCCTATCTAATCACGAGGGGAAAAAAATCAGACAACTTCTAATAGAAAGGCGGAGTACAAAATACTTGACCAGGATTCTCTAAGTTGTAAATCATCAAAAGCAAGGAAAATCTGGGGCCGGCCTGCTGGAATAGCGATTAAGTTTGTGCACTCTGCTTTGGAGGCCTGGGATTCACAGGTTCGGATCCTGGGCACAGACCTACACACTGCTCATCAAGCCATGCTGTGCAGGCGTCCACATACAAAATAGAGGAAGATTGGTAGAGATAGCTCAGCAACAATCTTCCTCTCCAAACCAACCCCCTCTCGCCCCCGCCAAAAAACAAAGAAACTCTGAGAAACTGTCACAGTGAAGAAGAGCCTAAGGAGACATAACATTACCAACTAAATAACCTGGTCTTCAAGGTGGGGAGTGTGCCCAGTATGTCTTTTATGTCCTTCGTGTTGTTAGGGTATTCTGTATGAGAAATGAAGGTTCTCAAAAACGTGCGCCCATGTGAAATTTACTGCCTGAAATCTCAGCACATATTAAATATCATCACTTGAAGAAGTTGATAAAACAAGTGTTTGCCTGCAAATATAATCTATAGAATGATTACGTCTAGTTCTGTGTAATGAACCCTGTGGGCAAAACTATTTTAATCCAAATAGAAATGTATAGGGTCTAGGACTTCTTTACTGTAAATTTTGTTTCAAAGCTGAATAAAGCTGGTTTTCAATTGGCATCACTTTCAACTTGGTGACAGTGTGTTCCAAATCCGTGGTAGATTAGTCCTATATATACCAAATGCTTTTATTGGACTAACATTTCTTATGGCTACATTATTTTGCAAGCCTTTTTTTCTTTCTAGGATTTTTCAATTTATCATGTTTTAGCTATAGATCTTCAGACCTCTGTCAACATTTTTTTTAACTAAAATATTTAATCTCGTGTTTTTCATATGCCATATTCTGTCAGCCAGATTATCTTCAACTCTCCATTATGAGCACCAATGTTCTTTCCCTTCTTATATCATTAAATATAGAATATGTGATATTATCTTTCATCTTATATATTTGTCAACCAGGTTAATAGGTACTGCTTTTGTCCTTTTGACTGAAGGAAGAAATTGGAAATGGCTAAACAAGTACAAGACATTCTCACTAACATAATCTCCTTTTTCTATTTACCATGTTTTTGATAACAGTCTGACCACTATATTCTTGTCTTAAAGAGGATCTACTTTTCTTAGAATTGTAGGCTCTTTTTATTTTTTCTTGGTGCAACCTGTATACCGTAGAAAGTCTATTCATTGTTCAGTTTATTGCAGTTCAAACCACTGACTTGATTTCTCTTCATGTCTTTGCTATTCTCTATTGTTAAAGAAATAAGCCTCATTTAAAGATGTAGTCTATTTTAGTCACATTTTTTAAAACTAAAGAACCAATTATTTAGATTATAAGTCAAAGCACATTTCCTCTGTGGAGTAATTATATGGCTCCATAGCCTATGGCATAGAAAAATAAAATAATCTCCAATGCATAGTCTTGCATACTAAATAATGTCCACATACTGCTCTGGATTACCTGTAAATTCTCACTAGTGTCAATTAAAATTATGTGGCAAAGATTCTAAACCACTCGATGGACACGACCTTTTAATTCTTCATCTTACTGATGCCCATAGTTGAAATATTTGTTGTCTTAGATGCCGTATCTTCAGTCCTTATATTTAGACTATATTTTACTGATAAATTATTTCTGGAAATTGTTCAGGTTTTAGCTATTGTATTATGGGGATGATTCAAAGGCTATGGAAATGCACTTTTCTCAAATCTATAGTTTTACTATTTTCCTCCACAGAAATGCTGCCTAACCTTGAGTAACTTGCCCCCAACTCAGGCACACCAGCCTGAATCTATAATAACCTTTGTATCAAAGGAATTGCCGAGCTTTATTTAATTTGTTGAACTTGATAAAAGATAATTTTAGGTCTCTAATGTATATCACCTTGGAGCTGTGAAGTGTTATCATTAGACTTCATATCAGCCGAAATGATATTCAGATATGTGAATTGCTTTGAAAATTCTATGTCAATTCACTTTTGTAAGTCCCCTTTAGATGAAATCATTATGTCTTCACTTATTATAACCAACATATGCAAAGCACAAGCTACATATTAGGTACTGTGTTAAGCCCAAGAAAACACATTAAAAACTTCTGTTTCTAAGAGACTTAGAGTCTGAATGGACACACATGTAAACAGTCTTATATGAGGTGGTAAGTGTTTAATATGAGAATGAAAGGTTCCTAGATGACATGAAACAGGGAGGGTCCAACACGGAGCTTGGATGACAAAGAGAAAGGCAAGGCAAAAATAGAAAGAGAAAGAATTTCCTTGCGTCTTGAGATTAAGCAGACCACTAGGAGCGTAAGAGTGAACGGTCAGTGCATTTAAAGGAAGCAGCCTACATGTTCACATGGAAAAGCGATGAGCAAATGTGAAACCTTCAGTCCGAGGATATAGCTTAACTGCAGGTGTTTATGAGAAGAGTTGCAGAAACTGAGACTGGAAAACTAAGCTGGAACCAAAACAAAAGATTTTTAAGGCCTTGGTTAGGAATTTGGGTTTAGGTAATAGAGAAGGGTCAGCCCTTCACTGATTAAAAGATATTTTGAAAGTACAGTCTTTAAAACTTGCTGAACAATTGGAAGTGGGACTGAGAGAGGAGAGTTGTCTAGAAATCTGCCTTAGACAATGATTAAAATCACTAACTTATTTAATAGGGTATAATCTATAAGACAACTAAAAGAAATGTTAAAATTTAATGAAAATATTATAAAATAATGCTTTTGTTTGTTGTTTTGTTTTTCCTCCAGTGGGAGAGACTTCTGAGATTTGCCCAGAAGCCACTGATTTCTTGTGTGACAACAAAAAGTGCATTGCATCCCAGCTTGTCTGTGACTACAAACCAGACTGCTCTGACAGGTCTGATGAAGCTCACTGTGGTAAGCATATGTGTCTGTTCTAATCCTGCCAGTTGAGCTCAGATTTCCACTTTATTGGAGAGTAACATACTAGCATTGATAACAGAGGAGAAATGTTCTTTTCATGCACTAGAGAAGATTTAGAATAGCCAAAACATTTTCCAACTTCTCTGTGCAAATATTCAAGGGCATCCCTCTCATCTTTTTTATCCTCATACTAAAAACTGCAACAAATCTACAGCAAACCATGTTACAAAAATTTTCCATCATATCATTGTATAGAACTGTGTGTGAAGTCAGAATTAAAATTGTCAGAAACTGTGCTAGCAGTGTGTGTTTCTTCATTGATTTTCATTACTATTTCCATTCCTTTTTCCAAAAAATAGTTGATTTTATAGATGAAGCTATATATGACTGTTTTGAATAAATATTAGTTTAATGATAAATTCTTATCAATTACACTACACTGGAAAAGAGGACTAGATGAGGCACATTGATTTTTTGTTTAACCTTTCATTCGAGTGATTTTTCAAAGTCATACATAAAACCAAGTATGTAATTTTAAGCACATATTTAAATCCAAAGAATTTTTCTTCATGTATCTTTTTTTTTTTTTGCTGGGAAAGATTCACCCTGAGCTAACATCTGTTGCCAGTCTTCCTCTATTTTGTATGTGGGCTGCTGCCACAACATGGCCACTGATGAATGGTGTAGGTCCATGCTCAAGAACTGAACCCAGGCTGCTGAAGCAGAGCATGCTGTACTTAACCACTAGGTTACTGGGGCCGGCCCTCATATATCTTACTGAATGCTCATTCATATGGAATCTTAATACCATACAGGCTACCTGTTGCAGTTAGCGTTTGCTGCATAACAAACTACCCTGAAAGTTAGTGGCCTAAACAAGTTTTGTTTTGCTCCCAATCTTGTGGCTCTGTAATTCAGAAAGGAATCAGCTAGGCAGTTTATCTCTGATCCATGTGGCTCAAACAAGTACAGCTGGAATTGGAGGATCACTTCCAAGATGGCTTTGTCCCCTCCATATTTGGCACATTGGTACTCTTTGGTTTCTCTATCTGGCTTGACATAGAATCTCATCCTCCAGGGCAATCCATGTGTCTTGGGCTTTCTATAACACGGCTGTCACAGGATAGTCAGACATCTGGCGTAGGGGATTGGCTTTTACCAAGTGAAGGCTCCAAGAACAAGCATTCCAAGAGCCTCAGGAAAAATAGTAAGATTGAGCCTCAGAAGTTCCAGAATGTCACTCCTGCCTCTTCCTAATGGTCATGCAAATAACAAAGTCTAACCTAGATTCAGAGAGAGAAAGTGACTAGACTCCACCTCTCAATGGGAAAATGGTGCACATACACAGAGAAGGGACACCATACAAGTCATGTTTAAGGTTTTATTTTTAGCTCAATATCATTTTTATTCCTCAGGATCTTATAGTGACAATGCTTCTGATGTGTTAATTTTCTCTTTTTTTGTGTTTATATTTTTTTAAATTCTGGTAGATATGTAGAGACTGTAAAATTTGCCATTTTAATTTTTTGGTTATTTTGCTGAGGAAGATTCACCCTGAGCTAACATCCATTGCCAGTCCTCCTCTTTTTTATTTTCTTTTTGTTGAGGATGATTAGCCCTGAGCTAATGTCTGTGCCAATCTTCCTCCATTTTTTTGTATATGGCACACCTCCAAAGCATGGCTGGTGAGTGGAGTAGGTCCATGCCTGGGATCCAAACCCACCAACCCAGGCTGCTGAAGCAGAGGACACGGAACTTTAACCACTCGGCCAGGGGCTGGGTCCAATCATTTTTAAATGAACAGTTGAGTGGCATTAAGTACATTCACATTGTTGTGCTGCCGTCACCATCATCCATCCCCAGAACTTTTTTTATCTTGCAAAATTAAAACTCTTTAGTCTGATGCAGTCCTGTTTGTTACTTTTTTCTTCTGTTCTCTTGCCCTAGGAGACATGGTGTTTGAAAAGATGTTGCTGAGACCAATGTCAAATAGTGTACTGCGTATATTTTCTTCTAGGAATTTTATGGTTCTGGGTCTTACATTCAAGTATTTAATCCATTTTGAATTAATTTTTGTGTATGGTGTAAAATAATGGCCTACGTTCATTCTTTTGCATGTGGCTCTCCAGTTTTGCCAGCACCATTTATTGAAGAGATTTTCCTTTCTCCATTGTATATTCTTGGGTCCCTTGTCAAAGATTAACTGTCCATAGTTGTGTGGTTTTATTTGTGGGCTTTTGATTCTGTTCTGTTGATCTGTGTGTCTGTCTTTGTGCCAGTACCATGCTGTTTTGATTACTATGGCTTTGTAGTATATTTTGAAGTCAGGGATTGTGATGCCTCCAGCTTTGTTCTTTCTTCTCAGGATTGCTATAGCTATTCAAGGTCTTTTGTTGTTCCATATAAATTTTAGGATTCTTTGTTCTGTTTCCATGAAGTATGTCACTGGGATTCTGATTGGGATTGCATTGACTCTGTAGATTGCTTTAGGTAGTATAGACATTTTAACTATGTTTATTCTTCCAACCCATAAGCATGGAATATCTTTCCATTTCTTTATGTCATCTTCAGTTTCTTTCAATAATTTCTTATAGTTTTCAGTGTATAGGTCTTTCACCTCTTTGATTAAGTTTATTCCTAGATATTTTATTTTTTTGTTTCGATTATAAATTGGATTGTATCCTTGACTTCTCTTTCTGCTAGTTTATTTTTAGTGTATAGAATGCAACTGATTTTTCTAAGCTGATTTTGTACCCTGAAACTGTGTTGTAGTTGTTGATTATTTTAATATTTTTCTGATGGGTTCTTTAGGGTTTTCTATATATAGAATCATGTTGTCTGCAAACAGAGAGAGTTTCACTTCTTCTGTTCCAATTTGCATTCCTTTTATTTCTTTTACTTGCCTAATTACTCTGGCCAAAACCTCCAGTACTATGTTGAATAGGAGTGGTAAGAGTGGGCACTCTTGTCTTGTTCCTGTTCTCGGGACAATTGGCTTTCAGTTTTTTCCCATTGAGTATGATATTGGCTGTAGATTTGTCATATATGGCCTTTACTATGTTGAGGTAATTTCCTTCTATACCCATTTTATAGAGAATTTTTATCATTAATGGATGTTGGATCTTGTCAGATGCTTTCTCTGCATTTATTGAGATGATCATGTGATTCTTATTCCTCATTTTGTTAATGTGGTTATCACGTTGATTGATTTGCAGATATTGAATCATCCATGTGTCTCTGGAATAAATCCCACTTGATCGTGGTATATGGTCCTTTTAATGTATTTCTGTATCCACTTTGCCAATATTTTGTTGAGGATTTTTAAATCTATGTTCATCAGCAATATTGGCCTGTAATTTTCCTTCTTTGTGTTGTCCTTGTTTGGTTTTGTTATCAGTGTGATGTTGGCTTCATAGAATGAGTTAGGAAGTGTTCTGTCTTCTTCAATTTTTTGGAATACTTTGAGAAGGATAGGTATTAAATCTTCTTTGAATGTTTAGTAGAATTCTCCAGAGAAACCATCTGGTCCTGGACTTTTGGTTTTGGGGAGGTTTTTGATTACTGTTTCAATCTCTTTACTTGTGACTGGTCTATTCAGATTCTCTATTTCTTCTTTTTTTATTGGTTGGTTGATTGGTTGATTAAGAAGATTGGCCCTGAGCTAACATCAGTTGCCAATCTTCCTCTTTTTGCTTGAGGAAGATTGTTGCTGAGCTAACATCTGTGCCAATCTTCCTCTATTTTTGTATGTGTGATGCCACTAGTACATGGCTTTATGAACGGTGTGTAGGTCTGTGTCCAGGATTCAAATCTGCAAACCTTGAACCGCCAAAGCAGAGTGCGTGAAATTAACAGCTATGCCACTTGGCCAGCTCCCTCTCTATTTCTTCTTGATTTGGTTTTGGGAGATTGTATGAGTCTAAGAATTTGTCCATTTCTTCTATGTCATCCAATTTGCTGGCATATAGATTTTCATAGTATTGTTTTATAATCCTTTGTATTTCTGTGGTATCTGTTGTAATTTGTCCTCTTTCATTTCAATTTTTTTTATTTGAGCCTTCTGTCTTCTTTTCTTAGTGAGTCTGGCTAAGGGTTTGTCTATTTTGTTTATCTTCTTAAAGAACCAGCTCTTAGTTTCATTAATCCTTTCTATTGTTCTTTCAGTCTGTATTTCATTTATTTCTGCTCTGATGTTTATTATTTCTCTTCTTCTGCTGACTTTGGGCTTTGTTTGTTCTTCTTTTTCTAGTTCCTTTAAGTGCAATTTAAGAATACTTATTTGAGATTTTTCTTGTTTGTTGAGGTGGGCCTATATTGCTATGAATTTCCCTCCAATGATCACTTTTGCTTCATTCCATAAGAGTTGGTATGTTGTATTTTCATTTTCATTTGTCTATGGGTATTTTTTTAATTTCTCCTTTGATTTCTTCATTGATCCAGTGGTTGTTCAGTAGCATGTTGTTTAGTCTCCACATATTTTTGACTTTCCCAGTTTTTTTCTTGTAGTTCACTTCTAGTTTCATAGCATTGTGGGTGGAAAAGATGCTTGAGATGATTTCAGTCTTCTTAAATGTATTGAGACTTGCCTTGTTTCCCAACATATGGTCTATCTTTGAGAATGATCTGTGTGTACTTGAGAAGACTGCTGTTTTTGTATGGAATGATCTCTATATATCTATTAAATCCATCTGATCAAGTGTTTCCTTTAAATCCAATATTTCCTTGTTGACTTTCTGTCTGGATGATCTGTTCATTGATGTAAGTGAGGTGTTGAAGTTCCCTACTATTATTGTGTTGCTGTTAATTTCTCTCTTTAGGTCTGTTAATACTTACTTTATGTACTTTGGTGCTCCTGTGTTGTGTGCATATATATTCATAAGTGTTATGTCCTCTTAGTAGAATGTCCCTTTTATCATTATATACTGCCCCTCTTTGTCTCTCATTGTCTTTTTTAACTTGAAGTCTGCTTTGTCTGATATAAGTATGGCAATACC